CTCTTAATCTTATTTATAACTGCATAAGTTAACAGTTCACTGCATTTGGCTTGATGACATCACTGAGTGCGACTCTATAGTATAGTTGACAAAATTTGACAAATTTTCAAATTAGCATATAGTTAAGGTTAGGTTAGGTCACTGGGTCTGTCCGAAGACTCACTTAGACCATGAGGTCCATTATGACACCCTTAAGAATTGGACACCTGTCACTACACCCATTTAGTACTAGCCACAAATCCATTGAAATAGAATCTAGCTCTCTTGATGAATTGCAAAAGTGCGACCCTAAGTAGGAGAGTCTATGTCTAGCGAAAGCAAAACACTGTAACAGAAGATGTATTGGTGATTGTTGTACATTATCCTCCAGTGCAAGTTGGTCTATAGTGCATGGAGGTCCTGATATTGAGAAAATTGTACCATATATTGTGCCATATATTGAAAAAAATTACCATATAAGTCTCAATGTTTTTGATATTTTTGCGATGGCAACTATAGTCAATTTAGCTTAACAAAATTTCGCCTAAAATTTAAATGTTATGTACGTCTGTAACTTGAATATTTGTAATTCTATCAACAGCTTCTATACATAGCTTCTATAGCTTCTATATTCAAATAATAAAGGGCAGTTTTTCATGTTGAAGAATCTTTTTTCTACAGAATTTTGAATTCTTTTAACAGTTTTTATTTCAATATACAGAATCTGACAATATGCGTAATTTGATATATTCTGGATGTTTCTGTTCCTGCAAAAACATTGAGAGTGGTTTTAACATACAATAATAGTTTTGGATCAAAATTATTAGAGTATTTAGTTAATATTAAGTATTTCTTATGAAAAGGTGGATGTTACCTATCTAAGTATTTCAAATAACAAACAAAAGGCTAAAGATGTCTCTCACTTAAAAAATAAAGTTTATCAACATTTTGAGGTAAAAAATTTACTCGACATATGTTGATTGAAAATAAAAAATAAAATATGTTAAATGCTTTAAACAAGTTTATTAATGCTATATAAATGCATAAATATTCTTTTATTATCATATTAAAATTATTTAAACATTAATCAAAAAATTTGATGAAAATCTAAGAATTGCTAACCAATATATTCAGACTTTAATATGAGATTATTAAAGCAATTATATTAAATTGCTTTATTATCAATACTTTTTACAATACTTATATTATAATTCAAATACAAATACGAAAAAAAAATAAAATAAAATAATTACATATGTTTTATATAAGGGTATAATGAAAATAATTTCCACACCATACATTTAAAGAATCTATTATAATTTTTCTGCTAATGCTTCGTTTTCGATATTAATATTTATTTTATTTTAATATTTAAAATTTATTTAATGAGGATTTTTAACTTATTAAGTTTTATTAATTTTGTATTATTTTATATTAAATATCTTATCATGCCTGTCCTGCTGTATGGTACAGAAGCTTGGATAATTACCAACAGTGATGAGAAGCATTTAAGAGAAAAATTCTTCTGAAGATCTATGGTCCTTTACGCGTTGGCGACGAGTATCGAATTAGATGGAACGATGAGCTATATGAGCTTCACTGCGACATTTGCATAGTTAAGCGCATAAAAATTCATCGCTGACTTAGACATGTCGTGCGAAAGGAAGAAAGTGCTTCGGCTAGAAAGGTGTTTTATTCGGTAATCGCAAGTGAAAAACACGGTAGAGGACATCCGCATTTCCGGAGAAAGGACCAAGTTACCAACGATTTGGCACCGCTCGGTACTACCAACTGGCGACTACAAGCAACTACGCGACCGAGAACGACTCACGTCTGTAATGGCCAGCTAAGTAAGTAAGTAAATATTATATTTTTTAAGCAATAAAAACTTCTTCATCAAGATTCTGTGTATTCTGATTTCCAGAACTCTTTACTGTTAATTGTAGATGTATTATAAAAAAAACATGTTTCTAGCGTCAAATATCAATTCATATCAAATGCGTGTTGGTACCATAGCTAAATGAAAACCTCTTTCAACCAGTTTTCTTCATTCTGCTATGATGTTGTTTTTTTGGATCTCCAATTTTGGAAACCCATTTTTCTGATGTAGCCGGTCACTTTGTCGAGACATCTTATACGTAGCTTACCTCTGCTGCGGTCGTTATATGGCATGAAATGGCCTCGTTTTTGTGGTCTATCATCCGGCATTCTCATGACGTGTCCGAGCCATCACCGTTACAAAGTTGTAATAGCTCTGTGTTCATGCGCAGACGAAGTTCTTCTTGTTTCAGGCGGATGGGATCATAAAACTTTATCAGCACCTTTCTTTCGAAAGCTCTGATTTGGTTTTCATCTGCTGTCGTTAAAGGCCAAGTTTCGACCCGTAACATAATATCGAGCGGACAATTGTCTAGTGAGCGTGTAATTGGGCGCCTCTAACTACTATTTTAGATTCGAAGATTTTCACATGTCCGTAATAACTTCTGTTTGCTGCCACAATTCTATCTTGGAAACAAACACTAATGGCATTGTTGCTATTAATGAGAATCCCCAGATATTTGATGTTTTCAACTTTTTCAAACGTGAGTTCATTAGCTGGATTCGGAACCAAAATTCGGCTGTACGTGATTCTTCCAGCCCTCATGTATTTTGTTTAGTCCTACTACCTTAGTTTTGAGCTGTAAATCGACGAACTTTTCTTACATATAGTGCAGTGACCTGCTTCAGATCGCTGTGTTGTCCGCGTAAACAATAGTCAGTGATATTTTGTTGAATATGTTTCTTATTAAAACTACCGATTGGCTTCTTTACATTGCCATAAATTCTAATAAAATTGATTTTGCCATGTCATAGACTAATTGCACACCTACCTGTCATGAAGTGGACTGTATTGACTATACATGTAACAAATTCTTTCTTGAAATTATGTAAAGTAAATTGAGTGACGAAGTCTAAAAAACTTTAATTTTTTAATTATATTCGTTTCCCTAATTTTAATGCCACTTGATTTAATAATGTGAACTCTCCCAGTATCTTAGGGCTTCTGTATCTAACCACTTTCCATGCCATAACGTACCGCGGATGGTAATAAGTACCTAAAACTCTTTGCCAAAATTGTTAAAAAATAATACTGAAGTTTTAAGTAAGCTATAGCGTATTAGCTATTGGAGCAATTATCAAATTTTATGTATGCAAATTTTTTTAATATAATAATATTATTAAATTAAAAAACTATTCATTAAATTTTAAATCAAACTACATACACTCATCTATTTGTCCAAAATTGTGCCCACTTTAATTCCATTATTCTATCATTTTAAGTAATCCAATTTATTATCCTATCCAATATATTATATGATATATATATATATACACATGTGATATTTTTCTATTGTACTATAAACGCAACTCTAGTAAATCAGCGTCAATTCACCTGAACGAAGATTACTGCATCTTTAGAATGTATGGTCATCACATCACAACTTGTTTTGATTTAACATTTTTGGAAACAAGTGTGATGTACACCCCAGAACTGGTATTGTATTATATATCATTTTGAAATGGGGTTCAAACCTCCCTCAAAAATATTTAATACCATTTAATACTAGATATGCTGAATTTTGTTTCAATTAAATGTGTTAATATAAACTTCGAATTAGTTTTCAAAATCCCTTCGAAATAACTCTAATATATGTTTCCGCATAATATCATATATACAAGTGTTTTTTGGTCGAAATCTTGATTTGGATTTTAAAAAGTTTTAAATTCACAAAGCGATATTCACTGGTTGCACTCGCTTTTAGATTGCCACCAATCTTTTTAGATTGCCAATTGGCTTCTTTCGCGTAAACACCACTCCCACCCATTTAAATTCTTTCACTGTTTCAAAGCGAACACGTCCTGTGAACTTTATCTTGAGTTCTCTGTGAGTACCTTCTGTGTTTAGACTCCTAGAACATATATGCTATTTGCCATCAGAACTTTGTTCTTCACATAAAAGCAGATTTGGATATTTCCAGTGAAAGCAATTTTCTCAGTATTAAATCTACATATCGAGGGAATGTACAGAATATTGTTAAAGATACTCTGGAGATAATTTCAGAAATGCGAGTTTTTCTTGTATGATAGCGTAGTTTGATTGGTTTAACGGTCGATCTCATCGAAATGGTAAGCTTCCTTCACCTGCATTTAAGTTAGGTTTAATTGTCACCTCACCCACATTCACATTTTTCTCCACCATTCTCTACTAAACTCTTCACACGCCCTCACATTTTCCATGTCGTGTGTTTTTTATTTAATCTGCTAATGGGTTACGATAATAACAAAATAATATTAATATGCATATATAATAATTGACATTTTTATAAAATAGCTTTCAAACATCAAATATAATAATTTAGCAACGCACAATAAACATTTTAAGTCTTGGTGTAGGTGTTAATATGTTAGGGCTGCCTAAGGCGCGTCTCATGGAGCAGAAGCGGCCCGCGTCTTGTTTCTAATCTGCCACAGTTATGCAAATTTGCCCTTGATACGTTTTAGTAACAACTCAATACTTTATTTTTAGAGTATCCGGAAAAAATGAATTCAACGAATTAATAAATTAAATTTAAACTTATAACCGCACTTTTATTGTTTACCAAAAAAATAATGGACGTATTTACTCTTTTCTGCGGCCCCTCAATCTATACAAAGGCTTGTATTGGCCCGCGATCATATCTGGTCTCGACAGCCCTTTTCATTATTAATAATATTTAAGATAAGTTACAAGACCCTTTGTCAGACTTGATTAGAAATAGTTTTTTAGTTGATTTTTATAGAAAATATATTTTGTTTCATACATCACTCAATAAGGATCTGTTACTCACTATATTCTTAAGTTAAGATAAGACATTCTTAATCCATTTTTTGTACTTTTTCTGATAAACTTATTAATTTATTCAAAAAATTTTTACGTTTTCAATTTAGAGAATTACAAATGTATTTATGGGTTCTTATATTTGAAGGTGGTAAAAATTTAATGTTAACTCAAAAATGTATTAATTGTAAATTTTATGAGATCTTTTATGAGACCCTTTGCAATTTACTTTGATATAGCAATTTAGCTTTAAAATTAAGTATGATATATTTAAAATTAAGTATATATATGCGAAAAAGTGATTTAATCAGAAATGACCCGTTTCTATATATTTCCTAAAGCTTTCAAAGCATTTGTCTGAGCACCATTGGTCAATGATCGTTTCAAATTCTGCGTCCAATTGCGTCCCAACAGCTTTTAAATTATTAAGAACTACTGTCCTCTTCATTGCCGTAGACATCTGCAAAAAAAAAAAGAAATACTGTCAATATATTTATATTCAACTATTTTGTTATTTAATATAAATCTAAAATTATTTTAACATTCTTTATTATAGATAAGTCTAATTAGAAAAGGCATGTTAGAACGATTCAGAGATTTTTTTGCACTTTGAACATCTGGAATCCAAAAGTTATAAGTTTTGAAAACTTACAGCAATCAGAAATAAATTGGCTGTGACATGTTGGAGATATACAAAATTTAACTAACAAATAAATGAATTTATCAAACGCTAAACTGAAGCATAATAAAGATCATACTTAAGCGTTATTAGTAAGTGCAGAGATCGGTAGTACCCACTCCTTGTCGTCGCTAGCTCAAAACTAATAAGTGGTTAAGCATTAATATATGGCCAACTGTCTTAAGGAATTTTGATATAGGAAAACTCAAGAATGAACAACACAGAAATATATTCTCGTGTGAAATAGCTTCTATTGACGCCAATATGGAAAACCCCGAGAACCAAACAACTGATCGAGGGTGGAGTAGCATATAAAATGCTTTGAAAAAGATATGTGCTGAAGTGCTATGATACGCGCACATCGCACTTAGAGACGAGAAATGGACATTCCTGATCCAATATGAAACAAGGAATATCCTTCTTAAATTAACCCACTTTGCAACTAAACATAGTGACTAGAGTCAGTGTCCACTCTGACTGATCACCAAGAAAACTGCAAAACTGTCCTTTCAAAAAACTGTATGTATTTTTTTATATTGGGTTAATTGGTCAATAACGGGAAACTTTTGTTAATAATAATTGCAATTTATTGCATTTTTATTTGAAGCAATAATGTAATACAGTAGAATACAATAGAAGCTCACAAATTAGAACACTTGCTTTTTCGGGTAGTTCTAATTTTAGGACTATTTTTAATTCTATAAAAATGATCAAAATTTTAAAAGTCCACATAAAAACTTTATTTTACAGTTGATGTCTATCCTTATTAAAGATTACTATATAAATGTAAATATTGAGTGTGTTTTTGTTTCAGGTTTAGGCAAATTTTTTAAAATGTTATAGTTCAGAAAAAGACACAATTGGTGTGGGATTGGGAACGTCGTCTTCAACGTTATTTGAAGTATCATTATCGGTATTGAATTCATATTTAGATCTGTCATTAAATTGCATTTTTGAATGCATTTCATTAAAGTGCCCATTTTGGGAGTTCCCCCTATATTTTTACTTACTACAACTTATTTATACAAAACTTAAAAATAAAGGAGACAGAAGAGTTATAATTTTAGAGCCCTTAGTGCATACAATGTATTAAAATTTTTTGGTTCTAATTTCTGAACAATTCGAATTTGTAAGAGTTTTAATTGGTGAGCCTCTACCGTAATAAAAAATAAGGTAATTTAATGTTGAAGAGTGTATATATATAGAACAGAAAATATATACATATAACATATATATGCTTTTGACATAAATATTACAATTTCAAGAAGAGTTTAAGTATATACAAATTTATATATATGCATATATATATATACAGAGTACATAATGTAATAAAATTAAGTTTTTTACATCAAGTGCAGATTTGGAATTAAGCACTTATAATATATACAGCACTTATAATTTCAATGAAATTAATAATGAAGGTGTGATCAAAGTGTGATTTAATAATAAAAATAGTATGCACTACTATATCTCATTGGACTAAAATAAGAAGCCAGTTAACTTTACAAGAAATTAGTATTTAAGCTTGTTACCAAGTAACATATATGCGTATGTGGGACATATGTATTGCCCCACTCTATATAAGCTATTAAAAATGTATGTATTATCATTTTAAGGTGGATACAAATGTTCAATGAGTTTCGTAAGAAAAAACTTAAAATAAAAAAAATATATCTCATAATTATTCTTACCTCTGGTGAGAATGCAGCTATTTTCTTAGCTTGTTCTAAAGCAACTTCATTCAGATCATTTGTGGATGAAAATTTACTAACCAAACCCGATAAAAGAGCCTCAGCAGAATGTAGTTTATCACAATTAAAGAACAATTTCATTCTCTAAATAGACATATACCATATATATTTCAAATAATTAATTATAAAAGTATTTCCATATACTCACAAAGTTTGCCCTGATTTTGGGTAAGTTATTCCAAATGCAATAACCTTCAGGTAACTGTCCGATTTTAGCATATGGAGCTTCATAAGTAGCTTTAGTAGTGCCAATAACGACATCAAAAAGTGACAGTTGTGTCACACCCAAACCAACATTAGAACCACGAACACCGGCAATAATAGGTTTCGGAAATGTGAGTAACGTATATAAATAATCTCTGTAAAAATAATTATTTGAATTAATTCTATTTAATTCTGTAATTTAATTTCTATAACGGGAATCATATATTTAGCACAAAAAAAAAATTAAATTACTTTGTTGCTTTCGCTAAATTATGCGCCACTTGACGGCGTCTTTCTATAACACGATGTGTCAGGGCAGTGAAATCTACTCCATGGCAAAAATTCGGACCGTCTGAAAGTATCAATACACAATTGCACTTTTTATCCACAATTAGCCCTTTTAATATTTCTACCAACTTAGTCATCATCTAAAACAAAAAAAGAGACATTTATGATTGGTGATTGAAGACAATGCGTACGGGATTAGTTTATGGAATACACAATAACTATACCTTTCTCGTAAATGTATGGGGTTGTCTTGCCTTATGGGTACTAAATATAATTTGTGCCACATTGAATGATTTTTTTAATACCAAATCATAAGGTTTCACTTCACTTCTGTTATTTTCACTATATCCTGTTTTAGCGGAACGTTTTACATTCTTTACATCAGTCGAAGGGACATTAGTTTCAGTTTTATCTTTCTTGTCTCCAGGTTTATTTCGAACTTTTGGTGTTGCTGCCGAAACTGGAGACGCCAAAACCGGAGTTGCTGTTGTTGTCGGTGTGACGTCTGGTACATTTGAAGATTTAAAATCGTTCTAAAATATATCAAAATGATTAAATTTAAAAAATACTTTCAAATTGAAAATTACCTTTTCCGAAGCTTTGCTAGGCATTTGAGGATTTTGTTTTGTTTCTAATATCTCTTCAGTGTCAAGAGTTGTACTAATTTCAACAGATTTCTCCTCTACAGGTTCAGGTGTTTTATTCACCGGAACTTGAAGTTTCTCATTTTTTGTGTGGTTGCCCTCTGGCAAATCTGGATCTAGATCACTTGTATAAATTGAAACATTACTACTTTCTTCTAAATTTTCCATTGATTGCTTGTCATTCAGTGTGACGTTTACATTAACTGAACAATTGGTAACATCGTTTATTTGAATGAATTTTTCTTCAGCACTGGTATCCACTTGTGATTCATTTTGCTCTTCTTTATTTTTATCTTGATCCTCTTCGACACCACACTCACCTTTTACTATGCTCTCTACTTCAGAAACCAATATGGGAGAACTAGTTTTAGTTAAGTTTGCATTATTCACGATAATGGTATTCAATTCAGAATTAGTATTAACCGAATTCAAAATTTTACGTTTGTGCGGTTCACGATGTCCCCCTTTTTTCGTTTCTGTCATAATAATATTTTCACGGTCCATAGACTCAGCATTAGAGGTGCTTCCATTCTCTGGCGCTTGTAGGCGGGACATTTTCAAAGTTGTGCTTACACACGTTTTTTGCTTTTCCTAAAATATTTTTTACCAATATATTATATATATTATCTTATTTTAAAACTTAAACGTATATCATTTGCTATCTTTTTAGCACATTTATCATATATTGTTTTTAATATTAAAAAATTGCAATACAGCGTAGTGTGGGGAAGCACGGCACTATTAGCACTGAAATGAAAGTACCATTTTTTAACCAATTCCGTTCAGTATAACATACCCAAATCTAATACTATATCCTTAAGCGCTTACCACATATAAAAAAATTATTTTATGTTTAATAACTTCCGATCTCTCACAATTTTTATTTGCGTTTACTAACTTTTTAAAGCGTCAAGTGCGAGAGTAATAACTATATTTTCATGTCATTGCATGTCATTACATGTCATGTCAATATTGCCACCTAATCGTATTTTATTACGCAGAAATAAAATACTAATTTTGGAAGAAACGAATGATGCGCAGTTATTCTCCTTGTTTTGCTCTAAACACAAGGAAAAAATTAATTATTATTTAATTTGTAATATTGTAATTTTATAATAACAATACACTAAGTCTACGGGGATTCACCTCAATAATTGTAAAACTATAATTATTATTATAATTATGAAACTATAATTATTATGACAATTATAGAACTATAATTATTTATAGACAACACACTATATACGGACTGTAAACTAATTAGGAAATTCGAATATTTCCTAAGACCACTGATGATGAGTACTTGGCAATACTCGAAACCGCTTTGTATGGTCAATCAAATTTCAATAAATTAAATAAAATTTTTGTTCTTGTCTTTTCTTTCTTATTCGAATCCGTCTAACTTTTAAATAGTTTCTTTTCGTCATAAGGACGCGTCACTCTCGGCAAGAAAAATTAAAATTAAAAAAACATTATAAAATTCTTTGAATGTGACTGGGGATTTATGAGGATCGTCAGTATGTGGCAATAATAAATAAAGCATTTTTCCAGTTTACATTTCGTACCATACTTAAATCAAATATACAATGTGTTTGTAATATAAAACATGTGAAAAAAACATAAATTTCAAAACTATGATAACAATCTCTATTGTATATCCACCAGTCATGTATACTGTAGATATACAGATATATTAGTTTTAGCATTTGTTCTACTAAATAACTAGATCTGGCTGTTACTGCAGTTTATTACATATTTCTTTATTACTTCAGATTGAAATTTCAAATCAAATGTTCTATGTGAATTGAAAGTTTTTAAACCAAGGGCAGGTTTGATTAAGAAAGAGACGACCACTTTCCTCCTTTTGGTAAAATTCCTTAGCCATTAGCCAATGTTATTTCAAAATTAGGATGTAAGGACAGTTGTGAAATGCATTTTTACTTTCTCAAGATTTCACATGAAAGTATATTGAGAGAATTATTACTTTTCAGTAAGGTAATGTATCGATATAGATGATAGCTATTTTCGATAATTAATCTCACCAATGTTATCCATGATTCAGTACGTGTCGATGTACGAGTATTAATGGTATGAAGAAATCTATAGAAACAGTTTCAGAACCGGTCAGATCTACGTCCGAGAGTCACTTGTCAAACACATTCATAATAATTGAATCGATTTAAAAACATGAGTTCAAAAACAATTTACTCATTAATAAATAAAAATGTTAGTGCATCCATATGGCTCTTACCATATAGTATGTTTAGACTTGAGTTTATCTGACGATATGATTGTGTTTATACTTAAAGTTTCAGAGGTTAGCGAACAATGAAAAGAAAAACCAAATATAATGTATAGTTTTCAATGTGATTCAGAACTACATTTTCTTATTGTGTAGAGTTACATTTATCAAAGTAAAGATTAGGTTCCTTCGGCAGCTTTTAAGTGGTGCTAAGCGAGACATTGGCATCAGTGCTGCAAATATTTCATTTCCACAATTTCGAAATTTGTTAAACTTTTTCATTTTGTTTATAAACTTTTAACAGATGACTAGAATATTCGTTGAAACTTCCAATCAAGATTCACAATTGTTCTCTTATTAGTTTGGTAATAACATATTGCTTTCTGCAGACGCTAAGACGTTTGACCACTTCACAACTAGGTGCTTAGATAGAGAAAGTAGTGTTGTTGTCTTGAGTACAGATTAGCAACTTTAAGCGAGCAACTTGCTGTTTTTTACCCCACTTAAAAGCTGCCGAACGCAACTAGTAAAAAAATTGTAAAATGTTTGATAATTTTATCATTTCTGTTTCAAAGCTACTGAACCAAATCTGGTTCGGACGAGGAATTATAAATTCACTTATTGTTGTATGTTTGTTTTGGTTTGAAATTTATTTTGGTAAGGAACTTTAGTTTCTTACTTTTTCGCCAAAACTAACACCAATAATTGCCGCATTGAAATTTTTAAAGCAATATTTACTAAATTAATAAATTTAATACTCTCTTATTTTGCACGTCTCTGCATAGAGCTTGTTTACTATAGATTTTGTATGGCTAATGTAACTAAATCCGGCAGGGTTATCGAAATTATCGCAAAAGTAAGATAGTAAGTAAGACAAGTTAAGTAAGACAGCCCAAATATATCTTAAGTCTAATATATCTTTTGACATTGTACAACTTACTCAGCCAGAATAATAGCACTGACTTAAAACTAAACACATATATTGTGGTAATTTCACTGTATAGAGATAATATGCACTTTTTAGATTAAATATCACTTTATTATCGAATGCAATACAACACACAATAATTATTATAAACCAAACTGCGCATCATGCCGCCTTTCTGTCAGCTGTCATTATTCCTCTTATAGTGTTGTACAACGTTCGTTTACTACATTATTATCAGTCATTATCGATGTGTATAAAAATTGACTAATGATTGAAATGGGATTTATTTAGGCGCTCATCCAGCTTTCAATTTGTGTTATTGACGTCATAGCCAATAAGGCAGTTATAGTATGAATATAGAGCGTAACTTCTGAGATATCTTTAACATATGTTGATGCGTTATATGTACAAATTGCCAGTTTTAAAATTCGATATATCAAGAATCAAGTTAATTCGACGGTGCCGACATCATCAGTTAAAGCAAGGTGCACCGGAAATCGTAATCATTCCATTAATTAATGTTTCTACGGTAATATATGTATATAAAAGTGTGTACTTATGTATAGTATACATACTTAACATATGTATATAAAAGTGCGTACTTATATATGGTATACATACTTAAATGCACAAGTAACATAAACCGGACTCAAAAATGCAAAAATTTAAATAAGGAGTATAAATATGAAAGGTATAGTGGAAAAATCATAGGGATTCTTGATTTAATTGAAAATCTTAACTTATATGTATTCTTTTCTTATCAGCTGATTACCAATATCAACATTAAAGTGTTGTATAAATATCCAGTACGTGAAAACTTGAACATCCCTGTCGAAATTTGAAAATGCTGCACAGACTTTACTGGTACATTTTTTTTCAATTAAAATTAGTGTGATGTGTGAAACAGCTGTTTTAATTTGTATTTAAAGTTTTGCGGCACTGGTGTTACCACCAGATTCTACACAATGCTATTCCATAAAAATCTGTGTAAAGAGCGTAATTTGGCACTTTATTTTTGTGTGACTCTCAGTTTGTACTTTACTTGTGTTTTACTGGAGTTTTACCACTAGTAGTTCGTGGAACAGACATATAAAATAATACTTACATTTATAACTATTAAAAAATAATTAAATTAGGTTATTAGTAAATTATAATACATTAATGATATCGATAATAAATTATGTGGAGTAATATATTATTTTGCTTTATAATATATATCTTAACATTTCTCATCTTTGCTTTGTTAAAATTAAATGCTTTAAAGGAAATGATTATTTTCATATTGGATTGAATTTCCTGGGTCGAAGACAAATACTGTCTTTCAAATTTTTTTTGCAATTAAAATCGTGTTTTATTTTCTTTCAAGGTTTTCGTGTGCTTCGGATCTTTATTATAGTTTTTTTTAATATTAATTTTATTCGAAAAGAAAGTCACTTTTACTCTGAAATGTCTAAATGTTAAATTAGATATTATCCAACAAATGCATGAAAAGCAAATACAAATACATTGAAATATAGATGGCAGTTTGCCTCCTGCCTGTCTTTTACTCCGTATATGGCGCTGTGGTGGTTCACGTTTTTTCTCAAATAATTGTCCATAAAAAAAAACTGCTTTTAAAAAATTTTCGACGTAAAGACTCAAAAATTTTAAGCAAAATTTGAAAATCGGTTTATTTTCGAAGCAACTATGTTGACATACAGTTTTAGACTTGCATTATAGGGTGCTTCAGTTTTGCTAAATTATAAATCAAAGCACATAAATGAACTTTGGTATGGAGAGCACTAAGGGTCACTAATCATTAACTTTCATTTATTCAATCCGCTTTCAATCTGTTTTATTTTACTTTATAAATTAAAACCTCTAAAACATATTCTCGACAAAGAGTGTTTCAAAATTAATAGGGCTTTTGTATAACAAATATTAATACTTGCCATCTATTAGCAATTAATGCGTTGATTAGATATATCCTTTAATTTTTCAATAAGAGGTTAACTAATATTAAAATAAAATTTTATCTTTGCTCTTTCTTAGAGGCTAATTTGTACCAAATATCACATGTCGAACAAGTCATATGAAACATTGACACGAGTACACGAGTGAAGGACTCACCGTGCCGACTCACATGTTTATCAATAGATGGCCTCACTACTAGCATATTTTTAGGTTACAAACTATCTTGTCCCGAACGTATTTTTATTTGGACTGGTATGCACTTATCCAACAAATTTAACCTGACCTAAGAATGTATGCCATATTTTTAAATAAATATAAATATATGCATTATATAAATTTTTTTATTTTTATTTTAGTTTTTGACCACTGATGGCGACATTTAATAAATGCTTGACTATAAATATATTTTGTTTTTTTAACACTTATTTCGTTAATAACACGCCTTGGTTTTTAATTTAATTTTTCACACATTAATTTTATGTCATTGCAACTATATTTCAACTGCAGTTGCATATTGCTGGACTCGGTGTGTATGAAATAATTAATTCACATTTTTCCATAGAGCCAATGTTTCCCTCATTCAACATATATTTTTCTCCACATATTTTTTTTTTTTTTATTAAATAATATAATTAATATGTAACAGTTGGAAATGCTTAAATTTTTCCAATTAAAACAATAAAACAACAGAAAGAAATTCAGATTTTTTAAAATTTATTACTTCTGCCAATTTTGTTAGTTCAGTACGAAACCTCAATATAATTCATATTTATATATGAAAATGCCAATTAAATTCACTTGAATTACAATATGGAAGAACATATTTTGGGATACAATTCCACAATGTTGCAACTTAAACGAAAATCTCCTGCTTTTACAAACTTACCATTTGTGTTAAGTGATTTGTTTGTAATATTAAAATGTGATTTTATTATTTTTTTAAATTTGTATATCAACAATTCAATGAATTCACATAAGAGTTGACAATTATGACACTCATCTAGGTACTAGTCACATGAGTGCTAAACTTCTCAGAAAAGTACAACCAACTGTAGGACAGGGTTACATCATAGAATTGTGCTGGAGTTCGATCTCACGTAAACCTCATATATATACGTCTCTATGAATTTAAAGGTCGAATTCTACACGGCGGACAACTATCACTCGCATTTAAAGTTCCCACATACTGTCACCAATATTGTTTATTCTAGTGGTGGACGACTGCGCCAGTAGCGCCAGTCATTGAAGTCACACAGCTTGAAGATCTAAAATATGCAGATGATGTATGCCTCCTCGGCCAGTAAAAGCGGGACTAGAAAATTAAAGTGTGTTAACTTAAATTTAAATTTGAACCAAAGGAACATCGAATATGTTAACACCTTTAATTACCTTAGCAGCATGATCGCTAGTAAGGGTGGTACTGATGAGCATATCCTGACGCGCATAAACTAAGCTAAGGCATATTACGTTTTACCTAAAAATCTTGATGTATTTTCGTAAAAATGAAGCTTCACATCTATAATTCCAACATCAAATCAGTACACTTTTATGGATATAAGTCATGGAAACATACTATTGTCATCAACATATGCCCATAAACTTTTTCCAACAAATGCTTGCATCAGATTCTCAACATCTGGTGACTTAATCGTATAGGCAATGCTGGTCTTTGGAGTGTCACTAACCAAATGCTAACCTCTTAAGAAGTATGCATGCGCAAATATCTTTGAATCGGTCATACCCTGCGCAGTGTCTTCGAAAACATTGCTTGTCAAGCACTCAGATGAAACCACCAAGAAAGTGACCGTCATGTTGGGGTGCTTGGTAGAATATGGGATAACATAGTCGATGCAGAATTGCAAGCAAATTATTCTTGGAATGACATTACCTGAAGACCCTATGCTACACTGAGGGAAGAGAATACTATAAGAAAATATACGTCTCTGTTTCACAAGGGCTATATTGATTGAAAGCATTGTTGATATGCCGATTTAACAATGGATTTTAGTAAATTTCAATTTTCTGTAAAATTTTTTTCAGCACCCTACCAATAGATTATCACACTACAAAATAAGATTGAATTCATATTTAGAATAGAATTTAAGATTCTTGCTCACTTAAAGTTTTGGCACAACAACATATTTGACTACTTAAAGATAAACTAAACTAATTAAACTATTAAACTAATTTTGTAATAAATTCCTTTAAGTGTTGTTTTAATTTAGAGAAAATTAAATAAATTTAATTTTAATTTTTAATTAAAAGATTTATTTACATTGATATAGCGAACATTCTATGGATGTTAGCTCTTCGTTAAAGTGGGCTGAAATATACATGTAATATAATACAAGCATGCATAATAGAATATATATATATATATATATATATATATATATATATATATATATATATATATGTCTGTATCTTATGAAAATGAAATAAAAGCATGAACGAAATCATTGAACAAAACAATGACAACCAAATCAATTCAATGCAATATCGTCCATGCCGACAAAACTTGAGAGTGCAAATTCATTCATTTGCTGTGAAATTACTAGAAATACTAGAATTACTAAAAATACTAGAAATACTTAATAAATTAAAAAAAAAACAATAAAAACTGAAAGCAATAAATTATAAAATATTAACAAAAGAGTTAGGAATAATATTGCTATTGAAAACTGAAATATGTAGTGCAAATAATGTAAGTCCAAATAATATTTCAAATGAAAAATAGATTTAAGTTTGACCTGAATTCTCTGACAAATAGAAAAATAGCAGCTCATGAAGGGCCCAAGCAAGTTTCATTAAAAATAAGAATAATAAAGATAAGTATATTCAGTTGCAAAAAACACTAAACACTCTGTTGGTACTAAATAGGATAAAATACGAAATTCTTTTTAACAACAGACCTAGAACCAAACCTTCAGTGTCATAGGAATAGAGTATTTCTCAGGTAAGGCATGTCTGTTGTAAGAGGCAAAGAAAATCTAATAGACAGTACCTGATACTATTTGTAGTATAATTGGTAGCAAGTGAAATTTACTTAAGGTGCTCGACCGAAAATGTAAGTCTGGTACCAGATGGATCAGAGTCGTAGTTTTGGCTATCCTAAACAATGGGAGGTAGTCTATTTAATGGGAATATCGTGGTGGCAATAGTTAAAACCCAAA